CAACAAAAAACCCCCAACTAAAACCTCCGTTCAAGATACACTTATCTCTAGCTTTGCCGGTAACAATGACAGGGAACTCTCAGAAACATGCAAAACAGGATTCAAAATACAGTTATCTCAAGCTTTGCCGCGGAAACATATAAAAACAGGGTTCCAAATACAGTAACATTTATCTCGAGCTTTGTTGGCGATAGTGTCTGGGGACCCTCGGAATCATGTCCACAGATATTCGGCAGTGGAGCAAGCGTGTGCTCATCTAAAGCACTCTCTACGAAATGCTAGAGCATCCAGGTTGTCATCAACAATTGCCTGAGAAAGTCGCTCAGGGTCTGATGGTAAAACAGTGTCACCAACGAGAAAGGATTATGGAGAACAACATAGAAGGAAACAGTGGAGATGGATTGGGCTGAGTATACCTTCAAGAAATCAAGCAGCTATACAACAAAGAAAGCGTTAGATTGGAATCCACAGATTAAGCGATCAAGGGAAAGGCCACGTGAAACCCGTAGCAAAGTCACAGCGAATGATATACAGAAAAATTCGAAAGAAATTTGAATATTGGGAAAAAGCTAGCCCAGGATTGGGAACAGTGGAAAGTGTTTGTCGGTTCAAGATGAGACAGGTGATGATGCAGCTGGCATGGGATCTTCTAGAGCACTTAACAATGAGTAAACCCAGCCATAGATACCAATATATTTCTGCAAACTTTGACCTTCTGGTCATTCTGTTTCCGATAATGAACCCTTGTGGGTTTTTTTTTCAAATAACCTTTGTTCTGTTCGTGAACTTTGGATAATACACTGTACTTTTTTATCACTGGGAACCGGTTCTGCTACTATTTCTGTGCCGGTACAAGGCAGGTGTTCTAAAACTTTCTTTGATGTCTAAAGTGGTTCAAGTTGCTCGGCTTCACAACGTTCCTTTTTTTGGTTAGGGGACTCTGATGTCAAATAAGTGCTTGTTCAATGTCAAACAAGTTGGAATTGTGGAACAATACAGGAAAAATACTTGTAATTTATCATTTACTATGTTTACTTTCTGGACGTATTAAGAAGATCGAGGAAGAGCGCTGTCAGAGATGAGGTGGGAAGAAGGCGTTGGCGATGGATTGGACACAGTTTCGGGAATTCAAGTAGCTGCAGAACTAGGAAAGTGTTAGATTGGAACCCACAGGGTAAAATATCAAGGGGAAGACCTCGTGGAACCTGGAGAAGAATCACGGAAATGAATGTACAGCAAAGTGGGAAGACATGGAATGACATCAAGAGACTAGCCCAGGATAGAGAAAGGTGGAACGTGTTTGCTCGTGGCCTATACCCTGACACAGGGTGAGAAAGGCAAGAACGAAATTATAGAATGACTACTAGAAGAAGGGCACACGCATTATACAATCGATGTGATAGTCATAGTGAAACAATACCAGTCCTGTATCTATGAAACAGGAGTTTTAATTATGTGACAAAGAGGTTTTTTTTTCATCAAAGCGCGTACAGCCGAACTCATACATTTTAATCTATGGCGTGGAAACCATGAATACTGGCCGACCATTGTGTTTTGCTCAACGCTGTCGCCCTAGTTTTAACGGTCTTCAGAGGCGTTATTGACGCCAACTGTCAGCACTGCGAGTCATAAACCGACAAATGAGATCGTGAATTCCACACAGGTGTGGGATTCACGGTTTCATCAGGTGACTTTTGTCGCACGGTGTTTTTTCACGATATTAATATTACCTCATACTACTCGTTTGAGTTGAGATAATTGAATAACAGTTTTACAGGGATAATAGGTATCTCACCGAATACTATCCAAAAAAAAAAAAAAAACGTTTTTAAAAAATTACGGAATTCACGATTTTATCAGGCGAACGACGACTCTGAAAACACACAGAAACATTCTCGGCTTCCCGAAAAGCGTACCGCGCAAGCTGCCGATTTCAAGCACTCAAACACTAACTTACTGACAAGATATTTCACTGTCTGTACTGTAGCCGGATACCCATTCCCACCTGGGTGAAGTGAAGAATATTCCTGTAAAGTGCCTTCTGCAAGAACATAATTTCGGGCCCTTACGGGATTCAAACGGAAAAAATTACTGTTGCGATTTCGAGAGCCATAACAGGCTCACACATCCCCACCCCCATTTCCATCGCAAACTATACCTCAACCCAACCCCCGAAATCTCCGTTACAATTCAGAAACAGTTCAGCACGCACATACGCGAAATCGGTAGGACACAGAAATATTTTGGGTAGGGACGAATTCATATATTATTATGTTATGGGTACCAAAAATGTGTTTTTTAAAACATGTTTAAGAAAATAAAATGTCCAGACCTGAACATATATATCTATATATATGTGTGTGTGTGTGAGCTATGTGAGCGTTCGCTATGTTCATGCTCGCTATGAGGGTGTTTCGCTATGTTCGTGTTCGCTATGCGCATGTTTTGCTAAATTTGCGTTCGCTATGTGCGTAGTTCTCTGTGCGCGTCTTTCGCTATGTGTGTGTTCTATACACTGTAGGTGCGTGTTCGCTATGTGTGTGTGTGTTCTATACTCGCATGTTTCTCTTGCTGCGTGTTCACTATATTGACCGTGTTAGACTATAACGCAGTATTGATCACAATCTCCCAAACAGGTGAACCGGAGTCTTACCCTGTTCCTAGGACTGATTGGGATCGGAGGCTGCGCGATAGTGACGCCGTACTGCCCCGTGTATATCGTCATGATTCTTGTCCGCGGCAGTGACGGGATGTTCTCCGGAGTAGTGGATACCAGTAAGTCACTTAAACAACGTATACGAACACATTGCAAGAAATATCTAACTAATTTCACAACGGTATTTTTTAAAAACTGAGAACACAGGTGTGCAAACTCTCTCTCTCTCTCTCTCT